CAGGCCAGGCAGTGGGAGAGCCAAGAAACATCTAGAGCACCTCTGCAGAAACACCCTGCCTGCCAGGTTGCCTTTGCTCTTCCTTCAGAGAGAACTCTGCTCCCCAATGAAAACACAAAACCAGGAGTGAAGCACCAAATCTTGCCCTTAAAGAGGGCAAGGAGCAGCTCTGGGGAGGGAAGTGCCCCCACCAGCCCTCCCACACAGCCCCAGCACTGTCACAGCCCCAGGGGAGGTGCAGATGGGCCCGTTTCTGGGTGACACTGTCGTGGTGAGGACGCCCAGACTCATCCACCCAGCTTGGCTTGGGGACAGAGGGGAATGGTGGCCACAGGTCAGAGACAATGTGACCAAGAGATGCATGCAGGAGGCTTTGTCGTGGACACAGATGGGTTGGGGAAGTCCTTCAAGGGTCTCCTGGTAAAATTGTGGCTCCTCTAGAAACCCTCTCCCAGGCTGCCCAGAGAGGTGGTCGCTGCCCCATCCCTGGCACCATCCCAGGGGAGGTTGGATGAAGCTCTGAGCACCCTGCTCTAGCTGCAGATGTCCCTGTCCCTGCAAGGGTTGGACTGGATGACCATGAAAGGTCCCTTCCCACCCAAACCAGACTATGACACCATTAAACAGTGATGGAAACGGAGGGTTAAAGACAATGCAGTAGTTGAAAAAGTCCAGAGAAACTGCAGAGGGAGGGAAGAAAACGCTGGGGGAAGAATGGCCAAAAACAGGTGGACAAAAAGTGACTATTCCAGTGAACGAGCCTTGGCACTGACTTGCTACTTTTAAGGTTTCATAATTGGTATATTTTCTCCTCCAGTATGGCAGAAGCTTACCAGGAAAAAAACCACCATAATCCCAATTACAAATGTTGTAGTGGGATTTTCAGCTGTACATCTGCAGGCAGAAAAACCCCTCCCCAAAGAGAAGTGTTGCAGCAGGAGCCCTCGAGCAGCCCGACAGCCACCTCTGCCCCCTTTTTTTCCTCCAGAAAAGCCCCAATTTACCCCTTTATTCCTCCTCTCCCCTCCCATTTCAGGAGCCTGTGTAGAGCTGGGCAGCTTTAGGGTGGAGAAAGCCCCTCAGCCTGGCAGAGCAGGACCCCAGGAGATGCCACCACGCCTCCCAGGCGGCCCCTTCCCCAGCCCAGCGTGCCCGGGGCACCTCCCCGTGCCCCAGCTGCTGCCCTGGCAGCCTTCCCGGGGCTCCTCAGCAGCTCCTGCTGCCTCCCAAGCAGCTGAGAAACCTTCACCCCGCTGCCAAACCCAGAAGAAAGGACCTGGGTGAAGCCTCTTTCCACGTATTTAAAGTTCAGGGTTATTTTTTGGAGCCACGCTGAGTTTTAAGGCCCAACTATCAAAATTCCCCCTAGGTCCAAAAAGGGCTGATTTTAAAATCTGTGCCAAAAACGACCCATTTTGACTCTTCAGAGCTATTGCAGGGAGACATTAAACCTGCCAGCCTGACCTTTGCCTAGCCAGGATGGCAAGGTAGCTGGAGGGGTCACCGTAGCGACCAGGTAATTACCTACCCGGCTAATTACACATCATTCCATCGACCCAGCTCAACTCCTGGCCCGAGGAAACAAGCAGGGACAGCTCCCATGGGGGGAAAGTGTGTCTGAGACTCCAGCTGACCAGTCAGGAAGCCAAGGAGAGGAACAGATGCCTCTTGGGGGCTGCAGCCACAGCATCTCCCCGAGGTCGATCCCAGCGACCAGGAAGGAGTCAGGTGGAATTAGGGAGATTCTTCACATCCCTTTTGCCCCCCCCAGTTGGTTGAGCATGACCCCCTCCTCTTGGCCAAAGGTTCCCTAAGGGTTTTGGGGGCAGCCCTCACCAAACACAGCCCAACCCTGCCTGTAAATAGGTCAGGAACACATATTTGGGCCAAAACATGACAACTTGAGAAGCCCCCAGGCAGAAGCCACTTGTGCTCTGCCAGATTTGGGTGCAGCAGCCAGGGAATGGGCATCCCCTGAGAAGGAAGCAGGGAAGGAAGCAGGAGAGCCACCCAAGTGGAGACCCTGCTGGCAAGGGGACTTTACCTGCCCTGCAGAGCACCCACCTCGAGGGGTGGGCACCCACACCCCCTGCAGGGCACCCACCCTGAGGGCAGGGCACCCACATCTGCTGCCCATGGACACCTGCAGGATGCTCTGCGTGCATCCAGCACCACCCAGGGCCGGCCCCTTCAACCCCTTCCACGTTTGTTTCACCACACAAATCCCAAATAAACCCTCCTTCTTCCCTAAAAACACTGGGAGCAGGATTTTTAAACGCCTGACCCCAGCACCCTCCTTGCCATGACTTTTAAATACCCAACCCTGGCTCCTTCTCACCACGAAGTTCATGCCCCATATAAATAAAGTTCTGTCTGCCTAGCCTCACCCTTGCCCAAAAGCACAAAAATAGGCCAAAAAGACACACAGCTTCCTTTTAAAATGCCCCCCAAGGAATTCAAGCTGCGATTTATCAGAGATAAACAGGCTTTTGATAAAAATATATATTTCTATACCTTATATACGTGTAAAGCCCTGAAAATAAACATCACCCTGCAAGGCTGCAGGTAGCTCAGATGGTCGAGGGCGAACGTGGTGCCCGGTGGCTGAGCCCAAAGAGCATCCCAGGGACACAGAGGTGGCCACAGGTAGGGGCAAGGGATGACCACAGGCTCCCCGAGGGGCTGGGTGGACCACCCCCAGGGGGGAGCCCCCACACGGGACACAGAGGGGGTCGGTGGGCCACCCCCCCTCTCACCTTGAGCAGCTTGCAGCGGATCTGGGCGGAGACCATGTGGCTGTTTCGGAGGTTGCCCACCCTGAACATGAGGGTGAGCTTCCCGTCCCGCATGGAGATGGCGGCGTGCTCGCTGAACATCAACGTCTCGGCCCTTTTCTTGGGCTGGGACATCTTGATGAACATGCAACCGATGAGGAAGGCGTCCACGATGGAGCCCAGGATGGATTGGAAGAGGAAGAGGATGATGCCCTCGGGGCACTTGTCCGTGATGTAGCGGTAGCCGTAGCCGATGGTGGGCCCGGTCTCGATGAAGGAGAGGAAGGCGGAGGGGG